CTCCTCCTCCACATCCTCCCTCCTCCCCTAACCCCTCCTCCTCCACCTCCTCCCCCACATCCTCCCCCTCTCTCCTCCTCCACGTCCTCCCCTCCCTCCTCCTCCTCCACATCCTCCCCCTCCCTCCTCCTCGTCGTCCTCCCCCTCCCTCCTTTCACTCCATTCAGGTTACCATGACGGGCACCTTGTGATCCGCTGGTTCTGGGCTGCCGTGGAGCGCTTCAATAATGAGCAGAGACTGAGATTGCTTCAGTTTGTCACGGGGACGTCAAGTGTGCCCTACGAGGGCTTTGCAGCCCTGCGAGGAAGCAATGGCCTTCGGCGTTTCTGCATAGAGAAATGGGGGAAGGTTACGTCTCTCCCCAGGTACGGAGCTCCTGCCAACCTTCAGGAAACCCACCAAAGAGGGCAGAGTATACTTTGTTATTTGGGTTTCAGTGACCATTTGGGGGCATGGAATTCTTTCCTGTCACCCAAAGTATTGTCGACTTACTAGTAGAAGGTGTAGGATAGGTGACTCTGAGACTGGACTGAGACTATATTCTTAGTGAGGTTTTGGTGACGGATAGTATTTATGCTGTACTATCTCGGTCCATGTGTCAGCCATGGGAAGCTTTCCAGTCCACATATAGCCCAAGTTCACGTAAAGAGGGCCATCTAACACCAGGGAGGAGGGAGGCAAGGACAGGAGTGTAACATGCTGGTAGCCCCAAGTGACCCCTCTAGCACCACATCTGTATTCTCACGCGTCACACTTAAGACTCATTCACGTATGTGTCGTATTTTTCCTACCAAGTTTAGAAACGTGAGGATAAGACCTCGTGTTTCTATGGGTCTGTACAGCGACTTCTATTATAGTAAGATATCAAGAAATCATTGTGGGATAAATGCAGAAAAGGAGGCACTGAGGCTGCAGGCAATTTTGCAGAATAAGTTCCCCATGCTGAGAGTTTTCATCTCAACACTTCCTGGGTCCTTCCTAGGCCACTTCGGGTCGTCTGTTCCTGATTGGTGAACTAAGGAGCACTAGAGAGATTCTTCTGTAGAAGTACCATGGTAATAAATACTGCCTCAGCAAACAAAAGAGAAGATTCATCCCTATTATCTTCTTCTAATACGACATTTTCTAATTAGGAAAGATTTGCATTTAACTCAGCTGTATCTCTACATGACCACCCAAATACCCTTGCTAAATCCCTGTTGTGGAAGGATTTTGTGGACTATAGTTTTTGTCTCGCTTTTCAGACCTTCCAGTGTTCTGAAGACAATGTGCCTGACGTTGGTGAGCGTCAGCCAGCGTGCCCAGCTGGTTAACCACAGCTGGGAGCCTGGTGCACTTTTTCGCTCTGGCTTATTCCACTCACTCAGATCAGCAGACCCTCAGCTCAAAATGTCTCATTTGCTAGGTTCTCCCATAGCTGAACCTGCCCACTTAAGTCTGTCAAGAAAATAAGACTAAAATGGTAGAATGTCCATTTGTCTACTTTAATGATAGAGTTCTGAGATTAAGCTATTTGAAAACATTCTGCTTTTATTTTAGAGAAATGTGGTTTGAGTCACCACCTGGTGGCATGCTGTCCTGCAGTGTGCAGCCTGAGGAGGTGCAGCGGTGCACCTGCAGAGGGGCTTGCCCTTGGGGCCCAGCCCCATAGGAACTTGTACAGCACAAGGTGGAAAAGCCACGTGCTGTGAGAATGTGGAGCTGAGGCTTAATCCTGACTGAGTTGCCCGGGGGAGACGCCTGGCATTTAAGGGAGCACTGGGAGGCCAGGAGCCGGGAGAGGGGGGATTCCAGCAGGAGAAGCAGTGTGAGCAAGGCCTGGGGGTGGGGGCAGCACATGTTCTGGAAGGAGTCCAGTGGCCCACGGGGCATGAGAAAGGTATTCTGGTGGGCTGCAAAGAAAAGCCCCTACTGAGGAGCCTCTGCTTTATTCTTTGCGAAATGAGACTCATTGCTTTTGTCATTTGGAGCCACAGACTGAGTATAATTTACATATTTGCTCTGGAAGCTTTGAAATATACATTAATGCTATTAACCCACACAAAGAGCTTATAAGACACATTGGGCTTCATCTGGGCTAAGGCACCCCTAAAGAGCCGCTGCTCTGCAAGCCCCAGAGAGGGTTTGTTGGGGAAACAGGGACTTTGTCCTGGGGCGAGAGGGCCCCAGGAAGCTCTGAAAAGACACTGAAAATGACCTACTGAAGAGTGACCCCGGCCAGTCTCCCTGCTACAGTTTCTGAAAAGCAAGAGCCTAAAAAGTGTCACCTCTGTGTAGAGAGAAATGAATAGCCTCAACTTCCAAGAACTGCGGTTTAGAAGACTGACAGCAGGAAGCCTGAGGCTGGCAGGAGCAGCTTCCCAAGGGACTGCGAGCCACAGCACAGCTGGCACCCCACGGAGAGTGGCCTGGGGCTGCTCTCTCCTCAGATCTTCCCAGATGAGAGGGCCAAACAGTGTCACAGAAAGCCCATCACAGCCCAGGCGAAATGAAACCCTCATGCCAATCCAAGTCCTTGCCTTCTAAAAAATGTGTAGGGTTAGGAAATAGGACTTTGAGAGTCATGGTTTCTAGGACATGGTTTTACAGTGCCTGGTGAAGAAACCTTCTGTACTACCACAGCCATAGTACAGGGGATGTGGGCCTGTCACGGAGGCCAAGGAAAAGGAACTGGAGGCTGGATGTGAACCGGCCATCCATGTGGACCTGGCTGCTGAAATGGAAAGGAAGATTTAAGCCAAGTGCCAAAGATTTAGATAAATATAAATAATTAGAAGTTCAGAGGGTCAGAAGGAACAGAAGCTATGTCCAGATCACTGATTTTCAGGCTTTTAAACCACAGTCCCCAGGAAGAAATACCCTTTACATGCACAGTACCTGCAAATGTACTCATTTCATGTACGTGTGTGTGTCTGAAACACAAGTTCCTCAGAACAACACTTTGCTCTCATCACCTGCAATACTCTATCTCCTACCCTATCCTATTCATTAAAATGGAATGCCAGACAAAACCTGTAGTTTTTTTTAAAAGTTACCTAAATGGCATGAGATTCAAAGAAACAGAAATTTTCGGTCAAGGATTGCAACGTAGTGACCTGGACTTGGCAGTGGACAGAGAGGACAGAGCTCACCACTCAGAGCGTGGGACGGCGGCAGGACCCACAGCTGCAGAGAGGAGGAACAGTTTCCTGTTTTGCACAAGGACTCAATAGGGGACAGAGAAAGCATGGAAGGAAAGAGAAGCATGGAAGCTAGGTCAGAGGAGACTGCCCAGGGCAGCGTGGAGATAGAATAACGGAGAGAAGAGAACCTCAGGGGGTTACATTAGGGGCAGGAGCCAAGGATATCAGAGCTATGAGTCATGGGTGGATCAGCTGGCCTAAAAGTTGCAAATAAATTTTAATATGAACATGCTTTGCTGTAGTTGTAGACTGAGCCCAGGCCCAAGGAGGATGGAGATTGGAGGGCTCATTAAGTTAGTAGTTGGCTTACTCTATAGGAATGGTTCTCAAAGTGGGGGGCGAGAAAGACAATTTTGCCCTTCAGGGACATTTGGCAATGTCTGGAGACAGTTTGGTGTGGGTGTGTTGGGGGCAGGCGGGGAGATGCTGCTAAACAATCTTACGATGCACAGCACAGGAAGCCTCAACAACAAAGAACTATCCAGTTCAAAATGCTGGTAGTGCCAAGGTGAGAAGCCTGCTCTGTAGCTGCTAGACTGGAAGACGCCTTACAGAGGAGGCTCGAGGGAGCTCAGAAGAGAGAATGGCAGCCACTGGGAGGTCAGAGAGAAGCCGGGGAGGCGGGTGTTCAAAAAGAAGGGCTGCCAAATACTCAGAAAGAGCCTGCGCAGGTTTGGGTGGAGCATGGGCGTCTGCACTTGGGGATCAAGCAGTTATTGACAAGCTTGAAAAAGAGCAGACTCAGCAGGGATGAGAGCAAGACCCATATAAAGAGAATGAGCCCGAAGTTAGCATGCAAGGAGCTGGGCATGAAGAGGACACAGCCCACGTGCCATGTCCATGACTGGCTGGACAGCTGCAGCAAAGAGGCCTCTTTGGTGGCCTCTTGAAGTGGTCTCCAGCAGAGAGGAGCAAGACTTTCTTTGTCACTAATTTGTTAACAATTTAATCAATAACTTGGAAAAAATTGAAAAGACAGGGAGATCAACTGAGAAGGTGCCACAGATTAGAAGGGCAAACAATCCAGTGATTGGCACAATCCAAATCCAAGATTATCTCAGCGTGCTGGACCCGAGGCTGACGTGCAGAGTGGGACTGGACACGGCATGGTTGAAAAGGTCCAGGTGGATTCCACAGCATCACGTGCGCAAGCTTGAGCTGAGGATGACTCATTTGCCAGTGGGTCTGTGAAGCTGCCACAAGTACGACACAGATCCTGAAATCATGATCACAATCACGGTTGCATTATTCAGAGAATCATACATTTAAATGCCACAGCATCACGTGCGCAAGCTTGAGCTGAGGATGACTCATTTGCCAGTGGGTCTGTGAAGTTGCCACAAGTACAACACAGATCCTGAAATCATGATCACAGTCACGGTTGCATTATTCAGAGAATCATACATTTAAATGATGATTCGCACGTTACAAAAGGCGTGATGTGTTTCTGTTGCTGACCTTCCCAACAGCCCTCTGAGGAGCACACAGCATGCATTATTATCCCTGTTTTACAAGTGAGAAAACTGAGGCTCAGAAAGATTTGTTGACTTTCCCAAGGTCATAAAGCAGGTAAGTGGCTGGACTGGGGTCAGAATAGAGGCCTTCCATGCCCTTGCTCCAGGCGCACGCAGCCGGGCAAGGTGAGCAGGTGCTGGGCATCAGCGCCACACCCGAGTTTGGGCACTTAGGGATAGGAACACTGAATGGGGTCCTGATTTGATTGTGTTTATTCATTCTAGATGACAAGCTGGAGTGTATCCAAGGGAGTTACAAGAGGCTGAGGATAAATACAATAAAAGCAACTAGTAAAGAAACTGGACCTTCAGACAGGGCGCTATTTGCTAATGCTTTCTGTTTATTCCCAGAGATTATCTTTTATAGAGTTAATTTGGTTCTCACTAATTTGTAAATATGAGATTTGGGGGGGGATACTTGCACTCATGAGTGCCAGTTAAAACGACCAGAAGGAGAAAACCAGGAAGACGACTCCTGCTCCTGCCTCCCTCCTGGCCAATTCAGCCGTTTCCAAAAGCGCAGCGGGGACTTTTCCTACTCACATGACTCGAGTAGCCACAGCCCGGTGTGAGTTCCAGTTTCAGTCCATCTAAACATAGAGAAGAGTCACTGTGACTATCATCCTACCCAACTTACTGAGTTCCCTTTCACTTTCGCTCAAACACATGTAGATAAAATATTTCAGTTACTTTCTTTTGAAGTAAATATAGGCCTGTTTGAATCTTATATCTAATCATCTAAGAACTCTGCTAATCTCTTTCTATGTTTATGTTTCTTTACAGTTAAGTCTTTAAGGCCTAACTAAGGCCAGATACTCTACTGTCCTGTGCCCACCCTTAGAGCCTGAGGACGGAGGGGAATAGGCAGGCGGGGGTGGGAGTGAGGGATCCTCTCCCAAGGACAGTGAGGGAGCTGTCACCAGGAGGAGGAATGGGTGCTGGGCAGAAAGGAACTCCAGCACCCTCCCAGATTCTCCCTGTGCAGGAAAATCCTTCTTCCCTCCCCCTCTTCCCACCTGCCTCGTCCTCAAAATAATCTCCCCCATACACCACACCAGCCTGCACGGTGACCTGGTACTCTGATTCATATCATGCAAAACAAAGGTGTAAATAATGCACAATTCCCCCATGGGTCTTTGTCACAGACCCTTCAAACCTGTTCAAACCTGTCGTGCAGACTGGGTCACAGACCCCTCATATACAGGTCGTGAGCTAGGAGGTTGGAAAAAGATTCTGGGAGCCAATGGCAAGGTTGACACGCTTTATCCGTGCAAGTTTAGCCCCTAGTGGATCACAGCCATTGTCCTTTATACTAGAGTCAGATAGCCAAGGGACACCTGGGTGCACATGCATAGTTAATGTATTTACATCAGACAGGCTGAGCCATGCTCAGCCAGATATGAGGTGAGGGAGCCTGACCAGTCTGTCTCCACTTTCCTCACAGTCTTCGTAGTTAAAAGAAGAGTTTAATATCCCAAATAAAATTCTAATGAAGGGAGTTTAGTTTTGTCTATGTTGTGTTGTGTTGTGTTGTGTTATGTTGTTATGTTATGTTATGTTGTGTTGTGTTGATTTGTGTTATGTTGTTATGTTATGTTATGTTG